CCCGGGCGTCTGCCACCCGCCCGCCCCGCCGCGGAGGCCCTCGCTGTGGCCTCCCCAGGCCCCGAGGAGCTCCACGCCAAGGGTCGGACCGCTGCGGCCGGCAGGCAGGGGGCGTCCCGCCGGAACGGGACCCCTCCACACCCTGTGGCCGCGAGCGCCTCTCGGAAGATGGCCCTCCAGGGCGCAGGCGAAGGAGCTGCCGGACTGAGAGAAGGGGGCCATGTGGAAACGCCAGGGGACCTCGGTAGCAGAAGACGGTCCTCAGAAAGCTGCGACGCCAAGAGATTCAAAAATACAGAGAAAAGGCTCAGGGCAAGGTTGTCCTTAGCTCATAAGCCCTTTGCAAATTTTTTTGAGTCAAAACTTTTAGAAAAAGAGAACACTGATGAATGTTCTCCAGGTTCTGTCAAGGGCCAGAAGGAGAGGAGCAGGCTGCGCCAGAGTTCCTGGCGCGCATTTCTGAAAAGCAAAGATGCAGAAGGCCCAAAAAGGCCTTCCTCAGTGAGTCTGGTTCCAGGACGGGAAATGCCGAATCTCCCCCGACCTTCCCCACCAGGGACCAACAGCCACTGCGAGGAGCAGGCAGGGGACAAGGAGAGTTATGTTTTTAGAGATCACTGGGCACCCCCTCAGTCCCCCACACCTTTGTCATCCAGCAGTTTGGTGTCTCCAGATAACAGGAGAAAAAGTGAACCAACCATCAAATGTACAAGCCCCCAGGAAAGTGGTAGGTACCTACCTTCAGGTATCTTTCCTGCCAAGTCCTGGCTGATCTCACCCATCAACCCTCGTGCCCAGCAGGCTGGGATCAGCTGCACCCTCCCCTCCAGCTCTGCCTGTTGCTTGGCATATGAAAGCCAAGGCATGCCCTGCAAACCCATGAGCCCCAAGCCCTGGAGCCCCAGGCCTGCTGCTTGGTGGGCGGAGTTCCACTACCCTGGCAGGGGCAGTGCCATCTCCATGGTTTCTCTTGGAAGCTACCGCAATGTGGATAGCAGCTCGCCGACTCCTGAAAGACCCAAGACGCCCAAGGCCAGGACAAGCCTCCTGCATTCTCTGCAGACTCTAGACCAGGATAACCAGAAGGAAGCAAGGGGGGAAAACGGCCAGCATCACTGTGGCCTGAGCACAGCCCCCTTGCTCAGGGACCTTCCTGGCAGTGAGGTGAGTTATCTGTGACTGGCACCAACCTGTGTATCCACCTCTCGAGGCAAGAAAAGGAGAGAACCATGTGGGAACCTGTCCTAAGTGAGGGGCGAGGGGAGGGCGGAAGGCCACTCTGCCTTCCACGGAGATTGCCCAGCTACCCTCCAGAGTGCCCCACCCTGATCTACACAGTGTGACCAACTTCTTGGAGCTGCCCAACTAACAAGTGGGAATTGGCATTTCATTATAATTTTATTTTGTGTTTCTCTTTTTTTCCTGCATAATTCAAGCTATTTGAATTCCCTTTCCTATTAACTGCCTGTTATCCTTTTCCCCCTTTTCCATTGGGTGGTTGATGCCAGCGTTTTCGTGCCATCTTTCATCCTTCCCCACTGTGAAATTTAAAACAGAAATTTCCCCATGTTGTCTTCTATGTGGTCTTTTATGGGTTTATTTTTTAAATTTAAATCTGACCCAACTGAACTTGTTTTAGTAGAAGGAGGGGGATAGGAGTTGTTGGTGCTTCTGAAATTCTTAGTAAAATAAAATGGTCTCTCCCCCAGGGCAAAGGCATCCACCAGGACAGGTACCATGGTGCTGGGTCAGGCACAGGAAAGGATACACAAGCTTGGGATTTCTCACACGTCAGGCTGCTCTCGGAAGGAGGTAGCTTTTTGGAAATCCCAGAAAGAATACTGTTGGGACTATGAAAGTAAAGCTCCCTTTGTCCTGTCTATTCCTGCATCCATGGGCCCTCGCCCCTTTGCTTCTTTAGACAAATAGGTATGGTGCCTCCCATGTGCCCAGCGCTGGGCTGGTGTGGAAGGACCTCAAGTCCAGTGTGAGCCCCCAAGCAGGGTCCTGGTGAGCCCTTCCCTTTAGCGAGCCATCCGTCTGGCAGTCCCTGACCCAGCAGCACTGGGCTGAAGCTGACCTCAGGCTGTGCACTCCCTCCTGCAGGTGTCAGCCACCCGGGGCTCCCGTGGGCCTCCTGTCTCAGAGCACACGCACTTTCCCTGTGTTCACGTGTCTGCTCTTCATGTAGCTGCTGCTCTCTTTGCACATGTTCTGATGTGCAAGCATACTGGGCTTTCCCTCTCTGCTGATAAGATTTTAAAGAGAAAGAGGACTAGGAACTAAACATTTATCAAGCAGCCACTTCATGCCTGGCCGTGTCCTGGGCACTTACAATCACATGCTTGGTAAAGCCCATGCAGGCTGTCCAGGTGTTTGCCTGAGGCCCACCACACCTGCTCCTTCCGATGTACACCTGAAAAGTTTGCTCTCTGGCTGAAGCCCTGGGCAATACTGGAACGGGAGACTCAACTTGGTGATACGAAGCTCCATCTTGTGGCTGCTCCTGGGAGAGCAGGCTTTGATTGTCGGAGTAATTTGCAAGGAATTCAGTCCTCATTCTCATTTTTTCCTTCCACGTTGCTACTCCAGTACCCTAAAACAACCATTCTTAATATTTCTTTTTAATTTTCTTCCAGCTTTTTTCTATAAACAAGTTTTGTATGTTTAACATGGTTACCATCATGCCATCTCTAGAGGCTTTCCTTTTCCATGATTTTGCATCCAGTAGTTTGTTTCTTTAAAGACATTCCATTATCGGCCTTCTTTTGCTCTATTATGTCAAGACTCACCCTTGTGCTGTGTACCTAACGCTCTTTCACTTTCACTGTTCTCTAATTACTTAGGGTCTGCACACCACAAGTCATTATCAGCCAGCTGTTGCTGGACTTCGGGGCTTCCTCCACTTTGGGTCTGCTGTGAACGGGGCTGCTAGGACCACGCGTGCCCAGTGCCTCCTGCACGTGCACATGTGTTTCTCCTGGGTGCTTTCCCAGGAGTGGAATGGCTGGGTCATTGAGGGATGCACATCTTCAGCTTTACTAGATACTGTCAGATATTTTTCCAAAGTGATTGTGCCAATTTACACTTCCTCCTTAAGAGTTTCCTTTGCCCTGTATTCTCATTAACATTTGCTTGATATTGTCAGTCTTTTTAATTTTAGCCATTCTGCTTGGTGGCTAGAGGTATCTCATGTGGTCTTAATTTGTATTTTCCCAATGTCTAAAGAGGCTGAGCAACCTTCATATGTTTTTTGACAATTTGGATATCCTATGTGGGGACATGTCTGACCTAATGTCTTGTCCATTTGTCCATGAGGTCGTCTTTTTCTTACTGATCGTATATTTTCTGGATATAATCGATGGTTGGTTAAATGTGCCACGAACCTCATTTCCCATTCCATGGCTTGTCTTTTTCCTTCTTTAATGGTATCTTTTGATGAAGAAGTTCTTAATTTTAATGTTTCCAAATGTATCCATCTTTTCTCTATCCTATCTTTGGTCAAACCCACTCACCTTGTTCTTCTTCAATTTGATAAATATTTACTGAGTGCCAGCTATGTGCCAGGCAATATTCTAGGTGCTGTGGATACAATATTGAAGAATATATAAAAATTTCTGTTCGCAAAGGAGGGACAAGTGTGGCAGAAGTAAATAAATAATTGGGCAAATAAGATTATTTCAGATATGGAAAAGACTGTAAAAAAATTGAAAATGTGATTAAGAAATTGAAAAAGTTAATGGGATAGACAGTTCAGGGCTGTGTGAGAGTAGGGCTCCCTTAGCTTGGCAGTTTGGAGTCCAACACTGGAGCCAAGTCTTGAGTGATGAGGAGCCTACAAGGTACCCTCTCAGGTCCAGCCCATTTCTGTGACGTGGAAGAACTCCCCCCCTACAGACTGCCATATAATTTCATCCTGCACAGTCACTCACACCTGGGAGACCACAGCATATTTGCATGTGTTAGTCTGATGGAGAACAGGAGGCAGGCTGTGATGGAGTCCTCAGGTGTGAAAGGTGCTGTTTACATGTAGAGATTTCTTCTCTTTTTAATTTCAGGTTTAGGGGCAAAGAACCTGATTCCAGGGGACGTAAGCTCCAGCATGTCATTTATAATCTTATTTGCACACACATGGGTTTGCACTCCTGTCTAAGGGGGCTTAGGAAGGAGACCAAGATCAAGAGGAAGATGAGAAATTGGGTGGGTGAGAAAAATGGGCAAAAACTAGAAGTTAGAACACCTGTGCATGTTTTATCCCCCTCTGTTACTTACTAACCCTGAACCTTGGAATAAGACCCCCCCAGATTCAGTTTCCTTATCTGTAAGGGTTGGACTAAGTGATCTCCTGGGTTTCTGTCAACTTGATGAATGAATGCTGGATAGCTTTCCTAACCTTCACCCATAGTCTTCTCTGACTTGGATAGCAAGGATCCAAGGTACTACTTCTACTTAAAGATTTAAATGGGGCGGGGGGGATATATTGTGAACATTTTCTAACCTTTAAAAATCTGTGTGTGTTCTAAAATTTATATCTAGAGGGACAGACCCTAGAATAACTAAAACAGTTTTGAAAAAATAAAGTGGGCAGAATCTCTGTACCCAATATTAATTAAGGCTTACTATATAAAGTAATCAAGACAGTGTGGTCTTGGGGGAGGGACAGACATGGAGATGAAAAGAGTAGAGAACGCAAAAACGGACCCACATAAATGTACTCAGCTAATTTTTAGGTGTGAAAGCAATTCAATGGAGGAATGACAGTCTTTTCAACAACAGTGCTAAAGCATTTGGACATCTATAGAAAAAACATCTTGACCTAAATCTCACACTTTATTCAAAATCAACTCAAAATTAATTAATCACAGACTTAAATATAAAACATAACACTATAAAATTTTTAGGAGAAAATTCGGGGGATCTAGAGAGGAGTCAAGTGTTCTTAGTCGTGACACCAAAAGTATATCTGTGATGGAAAATGATAAATTGGACTTCATCAAAATCAAAAAACTTTTGCTCTGCAAAGACTCTGGTAGGAGGATAAAAAGAGAAGCTACACATTGGGAGAATTTATTTGCAAATCACATATCCAACAAAGGACTAGTTCTAGAATATATGAAGAACTCTCAAAACTCAACAGTAAAAATACAAAGAATCCATTTAGAAAACAGCAGAAGACATTTCAGGAAAGAGGATATACAGATGGCAAATGAGCACATGAAAAGATGTTTGACATCATGAACCATTAAAGAAATGCAAATTAAAAACACAATCAGAATGATTAAAATAAAAAAAATGTATATATGTAATGACAACCCTAGATGCTGGCAAGGATGTGAAGAAACTGGATATCTTCCACATTTCTGGTGGGAATGTAAAATAGTACAGCCACTCTGGAAGAAGGTCTGGCAGCTTCCTATGAAACTAAACCTGGGTACACCATATGACCCAGCAATTGTACTCCTGCACATTTATCTCACGGAAATTAAACTTAGTTTACACATAAACCTATACATAAATGTTCATAGCAGCTTTATTCATAATAGCCCCAAACTGGAAACAACCCAGATGTCCTCCTATGGGTGAATAGTTAACAAACTGCGGTACATCCATATCATGGAGCAGTATCAATCTATGGTGTGGAAAAAATGAACTACTGATACAGGCAATAACTTGGATGGGTCTCAAGGGAATTATACTGAGTGAAAAAAAGCCAATACCAAGAAGTTATATACTATAGGAGTACATTTATATGACATTCTTAAAATGAGAAAAGTATAGAGATGAAGAACAGATGAGTTGTTGCCAGAGGTTGTGGGGAGGGAGGTGGGCAAGATTGTAAAAGGCGAGATAGGGGTCCTGAAGTGATGACACTGTTCTGTGTGGTGACTGTGGTGGGCACATGAACCTACAAATGTGATCCAACTGCATAGAACTAAACACACACACAGGCACATAAATAACTGTGAGGACAACTGGGTAGTCTGAATAAGATCTGCGGGCTGTGTCAGTGTCATATCCTGGTTGTCATACTGTACTGTGGTTTTACAAGATGTTACCATCGTGAGACTCTGCGGACAAAGTACACAGGATCTCTCTGTACTGTTTCTTACATCTGCATGTGTATCTACAATTATATCAAAATTGAAAGTTTAATTAGAAAAAAG